TTCCAAAAGGAAATTTTCCCCTGGCTTTATCAACTCAACGTCTATCTTTATTTAAATAAAGGGTGCAGTGTGTGTGTGTGTGTGTGTGTGTGTGTGTGTGTGTTCAACAATGGTACCGTGATAATGGAGCTCTCTGTGGACAAGCGTGTAAGGTATGAGGTGTGCTAGGTTGTTTGTAAGGGGATGTGAGGCTCAGAAAACTCCAACTCAGACTACCAGTTCATCTTTGGGATACCCACGGATAATCTAGTTAAAAGGTTGAGTTTATTTGGATTCAACTCAGTTAATGTTCCAACTTTGCCTGCTATTAGACACAGAGACTGGCAAACAGAAAGCTGCTCACTGGGCTGTGCCAGGACCCCACCCACATTAACATTGCATGGTAGTACCTTGAAACTGATAGGAGTTCTCAGTGGGGCTCGGGCCAAAGTAGGGTGGCGGAGTCCACAGACAGAAGAACCAGACCACTGTGGTGGCTTGGCTTTGTCTTCCTCCAGATGTCCCACCTGACGGAATGTGTGGCAGGTTTACCTGCACAAGGAAGCTGGATGTCAAAGTCAATTCAGAGTAGCAAGTCAGCTCTCCATTATCCACCTTGCACATGGAGGTGTTAACATTCTGGTCCCTAACTTCGCCTCTTTTCCTCCTGCTGCAGGAAGAGCGAAGTGGGAAGACCCCCGTGCCAGGCTCCCAGGGCCTGGCACCTGCAAGCCCTGAACAAATGTGGGTTTCCAGTCCTGGAGACTGGAGCTTTCAGTTTTAGCTGAGCCCACACCACAGAACCAGCCCACCAAACTCACTGACTGAGGGCTGCCGTCAGGGGTGAACTTGTCAGTGATAAGATAACCTGCAGTGTCGAACAAAGCTCTTCTGTGCAGAAGATAGGTTGACCCACCCTTTGCCTCAAACCCTGTGGTTTGTGAAATAGGAGATTTTAACGTTGACTAAACACACTCAGAAACTTGGCCATGTGCTCATAGAGAAGCATATACACGCGGTGCAACTTTTAGTCCTCCTGGCATTTTTCTTAGGATGTTCCCCAGCCCGATGCATATTTCTGGGTAGTCAGCAAGAAGGAGAGACACATGGTCTGAGAGAAATAGGAAATCTCTTTCAAGTTGAGCTCTTGAAAGATATGGGGGTGGGGTCACGGGAGGAGGGTGACAAGGGGGATTTGGGCCTGTTTAGAAGGTACAGAGAGGCCAAAGAGGAATGGAGCTGGAGCCCTGTGCACCCCCGCTCGCCCACCCATGCCAGGACTCCTCATGCTTTTTATTTACTTTCCTCCAAGACTCGGCTGGTTTCAGTGGAGTAGTTAATGTTTAATGTCTTTTGCACAGGTGGCCCTGACTATAGGCTGTGCGTATTTCATAACCCATTTCCTCCTCCCCTCAAATCCTCCAAAGAGGTCAAGGGTTAAAAGATACCAAACTCTCACCTTGAGAGTTTTGCTTGTTTCTCAGGCTTCTTATCAGGTAGGAATACCTCAGGTTTCGATGGCTGCCCTGAAATAGTCCCCAAGTTTCAAGGTTGTAAAGTTGGCGGAAGGAAATGCAGCATCCAGGTCAGGCCAAAGTGGCGAAGGAGAGTGGAAGGGTGGGACAAAGAGAGGAGACTCTTTTTTTTTTTAAGATTTTATTTATTTGAGAAAGAGAGAGAGTACAAGCAGGGGGAGCGGCAGAGGGAGAGGGAGAAGCAGGCTCCCTGCTGAGCAGGGAGCCCAATGTGGGGCTCTATCCCAGGACTCCAGGATCATGACCTGAGCTGAAGGCAGACGCTTAACCGACTGAGCCACCCGGGCTCCCCAAGAGAGGAGACTCTTAATGGTTCTGGCTCTTTGGATCAGAAAATGAGGCCTGGAGACAAGATGCAAGCGCCTTAGAGCTCATTTGGACTTGGTTTCGGGTTCAGATTCAGCTCTGCAGGGATTCCCTAGTGCCTGATGACACGATCTTCAGTGACATTTGGTGTCATTTGTTTACTCTGGAAATATCTGTCATGGGGGCAAAAAGCTGGCCTGGAATCATAAAGCGGAATCAGATGATTTCGAGGGTTTAAGGTGTGAAGTAGAAGGAGAAGGGTGATCTTAGGCCTTTTAGTGTTTAGTTAGGGGTGGCTGATGACCCTTCTTTAGGTCCATGGCCCTCTTGCATCCCTGGAAGGGCTGCAATCCACATGCTTTTATAGGTCATCCCCTGTTTCCCTTTGGAAGGGGAAGTGGAAAGAGCCCCAGATTTCCCATCTGTCAAAGGAGAAAATATCGCATCTTGCCTTAATTATCAGGCTATTTTGAAGATCTCATTAGAATATCGAAAGCACTCTGTAAGCTATACAGTGCTATGTGTTTTTTTTTTTAATTTTTTTTTTTTTTTTGAGAGAAAGAATGAAAGAGAGAGAGAATGAGAAGGGGGAGGGGTCCAAGGGAGAAGCAGACTCCCTGCCGAGCAGGGAGCCCGATGCTATGTGTTTTTGAAGCAGTGCAATTCATACTGTTTCTCTCTCTTCCAGCTACTTTAGTTACTTCCAGCTACTTAGTTCCAAAATGGGAGTGTGGTAGGTTGCCCCAGGAGGAAGGAGAGGCTAGCTAGCTACCATACAGTCCGAAGAGTACTCAGAAGAACAAAGGCAGTAATTGTTTTTGAAAAGAAGAGGCAACATCTGATCAGCCATTCACAGAGAATATTATATTAACTAGAGTGATTAATACAGTATTAATAATTACTGTATTAATTACTGTATTAATAATTAATAATTATGATTTTACAGAAATATTTTAAGAAAACTAGAGCCAAAAACTAGACCCTTGGATTTACAATGACTACTTGGAAACCATGCCTTTGCCTTATAAGTTTTGCTTGCCCCATGCCTCTTAGGTGCTCATAAATGTTAGTTTAACTGAAGCATTGCCCCAATTCCATTGAGCCATATATCCTCAGGGAAATAAAATACGTAGGAAAGAGTTTATAGTAATAGGGTAAAAGCCAACAAAAAAGAGGTCTTCCAACAGCTTAACTCAATAGTTACTAGAACAGATGACAAGTTTATTTGTCCAGCATTTTTTGAGTGTCTTCTGTGTGCCTAGGCTTATGAGCAATGGATCTCTTTGACTGTAATGGCCTCAACCCTACAGAATGTTTAAGAATGAGTTAGTACCTTCTGGATCTAAACAGTCATGAATGGAGTGGATGGCTAAGGTGACTGATTTCCATCCATATGATTTCTCATGTTTCTGTTTCTTTGGAGTTCTGGGGATTGGGAAAGTAACCTCATGAAGAAACCTGAAGGACTACTTTACCCGATGTTGATTTATTGCTGGGCTTCTTTGGCGTCTCTGTCCCCTCTGGTCCTGTCTCTATCTCCTGAGAGGGTCTGGACACTTACGAACTCCGTGTGTCTGGCTCACTGGGATTTTTTCCTCTTCTTTCCCCATTGTCCTGCCCCTCCCTACCTGCCCCACTTGCAGGCCTCCCCCAAAGCAGGAGAGGAGCTCCATGAGACCGCGTGCTTATCGGCTCTACAGGGTTGGCAGGCTGACTCACCCAGCACAGCCCAAGCCTGACTTGGCTCTGGAAGCAGTTATTAGCAGAAGCCGAAGGGACAACCTCTCTGGGATCCAAACCCGAGGTCCCAAGATCTATTTCTATTTATAGAACACAGTTTTCCTAGGACATTTTATCTAGTATTGGGAGGGTAGGAAATGTGGTTAAAAATATAGCATGGTGTCACAGGAAAAATAGGGATTCAGAACCAGACAAACTGGATTCTGATTTTAGCTCTCCCCAAATTCTCAATTTGACCTTGCAACTGTCTTTTAAACTAAATTCTTCCAGGATTTCATTTTAACATAAGAGTGTCACCTCTGGCCTTTTCAGACCTTGACTGAGATTTTCAGAAGGAAGATAGTACTACCTTCCTTTGCTATTACTATTGGTACAGTGAACTGGAAACTTTTTTCCCCCTAAGAGTTGGAGTCTGGGGGGAAGCTACGTAGGCCATTTCTCTTGTTCATTTGACAAAGTTTAGGGAACTTCACTGGAAATAAGCGCAACATCGAGGGGTGGTGCTTAAGAGGGAAACTGGGTTTGTGTCAGCCTCTGGGCTCATGTGCGTGCCTCCCAGACTGGGGAGGTGATTGATGGTGGCTGTGGGGGTGGGCGGGGGCGTGGGGGTGATGGTGATGGTGTTGGCTCGGCTGGCAGCTAACTGATACTGCACAATGTGTTTTATGTGCAGTATATCAGTATTTGTTCCCGACAACCCTATGTGGTTGGTACTATTGAGGACCCTGTTCCTTCTCTCCCATTTAACCCAAACCCTTCTTTTCTAAACTCTTGTTGCCTTACTTCAGTTTGTTTTGATCCTAGATGGATCTTGCCTTTTTCTTATTACAAGAACAGTAGCAGTTCTTACCTTATTCATTAAGTATTTACTACCAACTAAGCTGTGCTAACTGTTCTCATTTAACCCCACATTCACCCGATTTAATGAGAAAAACGGAGTCGAAGAGTAACTTGCCTCAAGTCACATAACTGGAAATGGTGGAAGTGGGATTTGAATCCAGATCTGACTGCCTCCAGAACCCTTGTACTGTTTGGATTGATGGAAATGTAGGTTAAGCCCCCTGATTCAGAGAAAGAAGGCCACTAGGAGTGATGGAATCTCCTTTCTGACTAGACTGCTCCCCGCCCCCACCCCCTGCCCGGCCCTCCCCACCTGCGCTAAGTCCACCCTTCTGCACGTGCCCGAGCCCGCTTCTGTGTCCTTCCACGCAGGCTGGGAGGTTTGGGTGACGGCTGTTCACGGCCCCGTCCAGCTCTCTGCTTGCTGGGCGTCCCTGCCGCCACGCTGCTCCAGGGCCTGGGCAGAGCCTTGCCAGAGAGCCTCAGCTCGGCTCACACGTGGCTTTGATTCTTCTCTTTTCAGGCCGGCTTGGGACACTCTCCACTTCCCTCCGCTTCCCCTCTGGGAGCCCTTTTCACCGTACCCCCTTGCTTCGGGCGATGCCCCAGAGCGAGCTGTGGCCAGCGGGGCCTGGCTCGGAACCCGTGACCCGCCCGCATCGGCAGCTGTGACAGCATCATGAGCACCACGTCCACCCGCTCTGGATCTGTACGTACTCCCGGTCCTGCCGCCTGGCCGGCTCTCTGCACGCCCACCCCGCCCCGCCCCTGCCCGGCCCTGCCCACCACCCGCCTCACTGCTCCTCCGCTTTCATCTTCCTCCTCAGGGAGTGAATCACACCAGTTGGTATTTCAACTCTGATTCACCCTGGTTTTCTAGAGAATAAGGTGGGACCGCCCCAAAGAGCAGGAGGACAGATGAGACTTGCTCCCGGTTTTCATTGATTGGGGACTAAGTTGAGGTGAGAGCGAGGGCCAGTGATCTGAGCTCCTGGTGGAAAGGATGGATGGTAGATCCCTGGAGCACAGGTATTCCCGAAGTCTCCTGCAGCAAGCTACATTCCTTTTAGGAAGATCAAAGAGAAAAGAGTGATTAGGAGCCTGGGTTCTGGAGCCAAGCAGGTCTGAATTCTCTACCTATAAGCCGAATGGCCTTGGGCAAATTACTTAATTTCTGTAAGCTTCAGCCTCCTCAATTTTTGGGTGGGGATAATGTAAACACCGAATTCGTAAGGTCTTCTGGGAGAGTACAAGACATGCATATAAACCACTTAGCACATGCTTCTATGTAGAAAAGAAATAGCCTATCTCTATAAGCAGCGATTCAGAATCTTCCAAAGTCATTGTGTTTAACAGTGAGTGTGGCATGTGGTAAATTGTAATTTTTCTGGGAATGAATGTAAATCTCAGTTGCCGTAAGGCTGATGTGAAAGAGTGAAGCCCGCCGTATGTCCAAATGTAAGCATGCCTTTGTTCTTGCTGTTCATCACGTACATAATAACCCTTGAGAATTTATACTTTATTGCTTTATATCCTATAGAGGTACTTGGAAATTTAAGGATTATAAGGATCTCTACCAAATGTCAAAGATGTTTAATATAGTCCGTGAGTTTTGATATGTAAAAATTGAGTAAAGAAAGCAGTGCACTCACACACACACACACACACACACACACACACATACACATACACTCCAAAGCGCCCACAATCTGCATATCATTTCTTTTTGATCTGAGATGATGGGACCCCAGAGACATCTTTCTGTTTCTGTTAGGCTGAGGCCAATATGAGCAGTTACATACCACTGGACACAGAATGTGGCAGGGATTAAAGGTTTTCAAAGTGCATCCTCCACAAAGGAGAAATTCAAAGTTGGATTATCTTTGGCAAGGCTATTTTAGGAAGAAAAGGGCAGTAAAGAAGATTTTGTTCAGGGAACCCCTGGAATTGACTTCAGGGCTTTCAAGGGCTATATGTGGGGCTTCCTTTGACATGTAAGCCCCACTTTTGTCAACTGACAGATGGCTCTTTAGGAGCCAGGGGAACTGGTAGGGTTATTCTGAAAAGCATCTCCCAGGATATATTTAGGGCTGTCTCAAAATCTTCCCTGGCCATCTGAGCAGGTCTGGAGAATATATAACTCTGAAGTATCTCAAATATCAGGAAGAGGGTTGAGATACACGCCAGGAAGGGACTCAAGCCAAATTTCTTACATTTCCATTTGCCCTTTTGGTTTTCCCTTCAACCTTCAACTTTAGAGAGTGACTATTCTCTGGATCTTGCTGGCCTTGTAGAACATAAGCAATAACCATTTAAAATGGCCATAACACTTTTTCCCAAATATCCCTATGTGCTTTTTCATCATGACAATTATTTATCTAATATCTACTTGATATTTCACACTAAGTTGCTTTCTCCTCCTCTCATACCCATCCAGTTTCTCTCCCCTCCCCCCTTCAAGTTAATATTTGCTTAAGAAATGCACACTTATTTGAATGTTAGCCAGAGCCAAATGCCATCAAGAAAGTAAATACACAAAGGAAAAAATCCTGTATGGAATGCATTTCAAAGTCAAGTATAAATTATTTAGTAAATGTATCTGTGGCTAGTCATGCCACTGTTCCCATTGGCCTGACAGCCAGTGGTTGGCGGCAGTTTCTTGTTTGTCCTCATACTGTCCTTGACATACCAGATTACAGATGCAAAAGTCCTTTGACAAGTTAAAAACAATACCATTCAAGTTTAAGGTCAAATCATTATGTTGTCCATGTCACTTAGGGCTAAATCAGAGACACACGAAGTGAAGCGCTTGACACAGGTCACACAGAGGAACTGGAATTAGAACCTGGGACTGCTTCTGATCTGTTCCCCTAAGCCTTCCAGCCAGGACTGGGCGAAAAATGTCGGTTGCCATCTGGCTGCCCAGCGCTGGGTGCTAGCGGGCCAACAGCCCAGCAGTGTCTGCCCTGTCCATGCCTGCAGTTTCAGGAGGCACTCCCTGCAGTGCACATTTGCGGAGAAGCCTCTCGGAAAGGTTTCCAGCTCTTCAGCATTCCTTCAGGTTCTCAGCCCCACCAGTTTCTGTGGAGCTCCCTCTCACAGCTTCCTCTCCCTCTCTGTCCTCCACGCCTCATTCCAGAGTGATAGCAGCTACGACTTCCTGTCCGCTGAAGAGAAAGAGTGTCTGCTCTTCCTGGAGGAGACCATCGGCTCACTGGACACTGAGGCTGACAGTGGACTGTCCACTGACGAGTCTGAGCAAGACACAGCTCCGCAAGGCCCCCAAGCTCTGCCCATAACCCAGCCTGCTCCCCAGGGTAAGAGAGACTGTCTGGGGTGGCACCTCTCGCAAACCCAGGAAACCAGTACATCTTTATGGCTGCTTTGCACCTCGCTTGCCCTGTGCTCTAAGGGTCATGGGCAGAAGGAACAACAGCATCCCTCTCCACGCTCCTGGCTAGAATTAAGGTCTTGTCCTGGAGAGGAGGAGGGACTGCTGACAAGCCAGCTTCCTCTGTCTTTCTATGAAGTCTCATAGAAGGCCTGGAGGGAAAAGCGTTTGACCAGCTCCCATTCTCTCACAGAGTAAGTCTGAAGAGACATGACCACAGAGGTGGGGGAGGCATTCGGGGAGCAGCGGATGGTTGCTCTGGGGACACTCAGTGAGTCTGGAGAGCTAATCTGGATGATCCAGGAGGATCAGGTTGCAAGAGATAAGAGGGAAGCGCTCCTTTAACTTCAGTGGGTGGCAACTCGAGGCTCCTGTGAGAGAGTGTGGAAAGCCAGTAGTAGTGAGGCTCCATAGAAGGGGGACAGGATGACACACAAGTGTGGCCATGACTGTGGGGCCATATATCCTAGAGTGAGAGGGGCACTTGACTCCCGAGGACAGCCCCACTGGTATCGGAACTGCAACCATGTATTCATTCATTTAGCGAATCTTAATTGACAATGTGTTAGACCCTCTGTGGAGATAGAGCAGTAAATGGGGGCAAGGACTTCACTGCTCCCTGAGACTGAGTCCGTGGCCCAGTGGGCCCGATGCACCTGCCTAGCTTGCTGAAAGGAAGGAGCCCATGTCACTCTCTGGTGTGGGCACAGCTGTAGCATCAGGAATCATTCAGGTGCTTATAGAAAGTGAAGGTGGGGGCACGTGGGTGGCTCAGACAGTTAAGCATCTGCCTTCGGCTCAGGTCATGATCTCCAGGTCCTGGGATGGAGCCCCACGTTGGGCTCCCTGTCTCAGCAGGGAGCCTGCTTCTCCCTCTCCTTCTGCCCCTCCCCCTGGCTCATGCTCTCCACCTCCTCTCAAATAAATAAATAAAATCTTAAAAAAAAAAAGAGAGAGAGAGAGTGAAGGTGGAGGAAGGCAGAAGTCTGGTCAAATCAAGAGCACATCGGCTATTGATGCTATTCATGTTCAGTGCTTCTCCTGGACTCCGTTTCCTGGGTGCCCACCCCAGGGTAGCTGGAGGGCCTGTCCTGAATCTCTCCCCAATGCCAGTGTTTCTGTAGATGGTTAGGAAGAGCTCGAGGCAAGGACATGGAGTTATGTGAGGCTGCTCTTGCCCCAACCCTCATGAAAAATTAATCCTCGGTTGTCGGGAATCTGCTTAGTGTCCATCTGACAGTCTAAATGATATCCAGGCTACAGTGTGGCCCCTTTAAGAGCAAATAATCAACAAAAAACAAAACCCATTGCTAGGTGGAGATCAGAGTTCGGGAAGTATTTGCTTTGCCCTGGGCAGCAGAGTTCTCACCTCTGTCTACTCTTCTTTGCCTGTTCTCCGGGACCCTCACAGGATATCCAGGGGAGAAGATCGTTCAGCAAGGACCAGAGCCAAGGAGAGGGACTCAGCTCAGCTCAACCCATCTGCCTGAGCCCCAAGGCCTGGGCCTCAGGTCTGGCTCCTATAGCCTCCCCAGAAATATCCACATTGGCAACAACCAGAACTTCAGGAAAAGCACCACCCAGACTAATAGCCACTGCCCAGGGGAACCGGAGGGGCTCGTCTCCGAGCCTAAGAAAGAGCAGGTCAGCCAAAGCTGTGAGCCCAACCAGGCTCCGGCCGGCCCCCAGCCGCCTGCCCGGCAGTTGGACACAGTGCCCATCCCTCCGCCAGAGGCCTTCGGGGACGGCCAGCACAAGCCACGTGAGCGAGACCGCCTGCCCCTGGGGCCCGGGCAGCAGAGCCGTGCGTCACTCCGCCCCCGGGAGAGCAAGGAGACTTCCTCAGAGGCCATGTCCCAAAAGGCCAATGAGAAAGGCTCGTCGGGGGAACTAGGGCAGCCTCGGCCTCCTCCCGCCACGTCGTCTCAGAATGTGAGAGCCAAAGACGCTCCCGCCCCACCAGGGGGGGACCCCAGTGCCCGGCTTGCGCCCCTCACAGCCTCTAAGCCCCGGAAGCTGCCCCCCAACATCGTTCTAAAGAGCAGTAGAAGCAGTTTCCACAGCGAGCCCCAGAACTGGCTGTCCCGCCACTCGGAGGCCGGCCCCGGAGACTCGGGCCTGGCCTCGTCCTCGCTGCAGGAGCAGAAGAAGGCGCGCCGAGAAGCCCTGGAGAAGCTGGGGCTACCCCAGGACCAGGATGAGCCCAGCGCCCACTTAAGTAAACACGCCAGCTCCACCCGACTCCAGGCCCCCCTCCAGGCTCAGGCTCCGGTTCAGCCCGCAGTTCCAGCTCAGGGCACAGCCGCCGTGCCCACTGGAGGAAAGGCTCCAGCCCCAGCTCCGACACGGGGACCTTCTCCGGGGAAGGCCCCGACTCCCACTCCAGCTCAGGGGTCTTCTCCAGGCAAGGGTTCGATTCCTGCCCAGGAACCCGCTCCAGGGAAGGCGCCAGCTGCCAAATCCATGCCAATTCCTATCCCTATGGCCCCCAGGGTAAGTAGGCCCCTGACCCAGCCAAGGCCAGACCCAGGGCTGACTCTCCGGGAGAGCAACATCCCTGGCCTGAGACAGATGAACTTCAAGTCCAACACTCTGGAGCGCTCAGGCGTGGGGCTGAGCAGCTACCTCTCGGCTGAGAAAGACCCCAGCCCCAAAACCAGCACCTCTCTGGGCAAAGACTCCGTCTTGGACAAGATGTCTCCTAATGTCTTGCGTAACTCGCGGCCCCGCCCTGCCTCCTTGGGCACGGGGAAGGACTTTGCAGGGATCCAGGTGGGCAAGTTGGCTGACCTGGAGCGGGAGCAGAGCACCAAGCGCCTGTCCTACCAAGGACAGAGCCGTGACAAGCTGCCTCGACCCCCCTTCGTCAGTGTCAAGATCTCCCCAAAAGGCATCCCTGATGAGCACAGAAGGGAAGCTCTGAAAAAGCTGGGACTGTTGAAGGAGTAGTCACTGGCCCCCAGCATAGCCCCACAGCCCCTGCCTCAGCCCCTGCCATACAAGAGGAGGCTCGGGGTCTTTCCCACCCAACAGCTCACAGCTTGGGCACGAGCAGGCTTCTCTCCAGGGCTTTCCTCTCTCTGAGGCGAAGGGGAGGGAGAGGTAGGTTTCCAGGCATACGCATAAGTTTATATTCAGAGTGCTTGTGTCAATGAGTGCCTCCCCAAATCATCCTGAAGGTGATTTCCACAAGACAGTGTGTGTGTGTGTGTGTGTGTGTGTGTGTTTACTATAGGCTGTATATTTCACTGAAGCTATTTATATGACACAAGGAGTCATTGCTCAGAGTTCTGCTTGTGTTGGAGATTTTCTTACCCTGGGTAGAATTCAGCCCAGCCAGAACTGAGGGGACGGGGGTGGCTAAGCCTGAGAAAAAAAGTCAGATGAGACAATGGATGTGCCAGGGGCATTAGGCAGATGCCGGGTCGTATGAAATGTGGGCCTCCCAGAATCCCCGCATGGAAGGAGACTGGCTCCTACCTTGTAGGATCCCTCTCTCAGTTCTGAACTTCCAGACGGGGCCCAGGAGGAGTAGCTTTGTCATCTCCTCCCCCACTCTATCTTCTCACTGTCCCCAGCCCTGAGGACAGGACACATCCCTGTGACTAAAACTCTCCGTTAACTGGGGGTGGGGGGGCCCTGGGTGGCCTGAGGAGGCAGGGTAAGTGACCACCCAGCACGCTTCCACTGGGGAAGATCCCGGCCCGTGGGCCTGGCGAATTTATCATCGCAAACGGTGCAGTGGTCCCTGACGCTGCTGTCCCTAACCTCCGGCTGCCTACCTCAGCCTGCACATGACTGACCCCAGGGCTGGGCCAACCCTGAGATGGAAGTCTAAGCCCTGAGGCTTTAGAAATACGGAAGAACTATTTGAGGCCTTTGTCTCGGCTACTGCATGTAGTTTTGTCTGTTTCTATGGGAAGGCAACCCAGTACATTCTCTGCTAGTTATTCACAGAATATCTGAGCTGGGAAGAATCTTAGAGAGGAAGGAGACTCTCATGTCCCACACTGTTGGAGAAGGGAAGCGACTCATCCGTGGTCATTCTGCCATCCTGTAACAGAGCAGGGACCCTGGCTTCTCATTCCATGCTGTGTGCCGCCTCCCTCACACGGCACCCTCAGGATCAGCAGTCACGGTCAAAGGTTCAACCCTCAGGCCCTTCAAGATCCTAAGGTGTCTTCCGAAACATCAGAGATTAAATGTTCAAGACCATATTGAGTGTTGTTTTTTCTACTATGTCTTTGGAAAGTAGCACTATAACAACTCATTGTGAACCCCAATTTCCTGACCATGTTGTGCAACTTGACAAAATGCCAAGAGAGGGTAATAGGAGTGGGGGGTATCGGTTTGTGGATACACGCTTGGAAATGAGGCACAGCTAGACATGACCCCTGTTTCCCCTAAGGAAATAAATATCGTTCATGGCCGTGGTTGGTGCAGGATCCTCAGATGTGAGGGGCAGACAAGGGGAACTGTAGTTGGAAAGGTGCCCGTGAGGTTGGCTGAGCATTTCTGGGCTGCATCCTTAGGGACCCAGCACTGTCAAAGCATAGTATTTCTGAAAATGATGAAAAAATTAAGGTACGGACAACAAATGGCTGCACCCTGTCATGGTATGTGGGGTGTGGCTGTGACAGTTTCTGTATACACTCTCACACACACACCCAAAATCCTGTGGCCTTCCTCGCCCTGGGTCAGGACCTGGTCTGTCAGAGCTGATAGGGACTCGCCCAACTAGCCAAGCCATTCCTTAATACAGACTCCCCCAAAGAGAGAAGGCCCCCTCCTGGAGGACTGGTTTGACACATGCTGTGTTTGGTTGAACTGCTTCATGTGTGTATTTCAGGAGAACCTAGGAAAAATCACTTTTTTTTTTTAATTGCCCTGATTAATAGGGAAACTTGGTGCTACCCATAAAGTAAGACTTGGGAGGAAACCAGGGCCCTCGCATCAACACAGGTGGGTGAGGAGTACCTCCTCTTAAATCCTCACTCCCAGGTAAAGGTAATTATTTCTCCAACAAAACATACTACATACAGCTTGCCTTCTCACTCTGCATCCTCAGCCGGTGACATGCCCATTCCCCCAGCAACTCCCTTCCTACTTCCCCAGGTCTTTGCCCTCCAGAGGGCATGTTTTACTCTTAGGATGGTCCTTGGGATTCAAGAATAGGATAATAAACCCAAACCCAGCTGTTCTCATTTTGAAGAGGGGCAAGGGAACCCAACTAGGGACATTTGCCATCCTGAAGGTGAGGCTAGACCGACAGAAGGAGTTTTTTCTATCCTCTTTTAGCCATATAGGATTGCTCTTCATTGGATGGAGGCGAGAGTGGGGTCACTGCTGTGTTTGTCCCTTTTTGAAAGATTTTGGATGGAAGTTGTCAAGGCCATTCACTTGATTTTAAAAACCCGTGTGACAACTCTACTTCTACGTGGCCTTGTAACTTGGCTCTAGCCTGCTATAGTCTTGCTGCTACTGGGAACAAACTATCTGCCAAACAGAGGAGCTGGCTTCTCCTCAGCCTGACACAGTGGGATCTGTGCCCTTAAGTGTGTTGACAGCTGCTTCTCTAAATCACCCCTCATGTGTTATCCTGGGAGTTCTGTACCCCTACTTGGTGTGGCAGGGCCAAGTGCTATCCTATACAGAAGTCAGGGGATGGGCCTGGTCACCTCTCAGGTACCTCCCTCCATCATGGGAAGTATGGTCTGGCAGAGGCCAACCTGAAACCTGTCTTTGCAGAGGCTTGCAAAAGTAAGTATTGATTCCATGGAAGAAAGGGCAGGTGGAGGAGTGGAGAGCAGGCCCTACTTGATGTTATGGGTTAAAGCTGGAGGTGAAGATTTAAGAGTCTACAATACGTATAAGTGTGCGAGATGAACCACTCCATCCCTGATTCGTGATCACATGTGTAGGAAGAGGAGGATCATACTGTCAAAACGTGAAACTCATAGACTAGAGAAGGTGGAGACCAGTGGGATGGGCAGGAGAAATCATGTCCATCTCAGAATCTAAGGAGGAATGGGGCTGTAAGTTTCCCATGCTCTTTTCCTCATGTGAATGACTATAGAGCATATAGAGCTGGGCTCAATTTGACCTCCATCACTTACCAACATGGGAACCCTGGGGCTGTCACTCTTAACTTTCCTGACCTTAGATAATAATACCATCCTTTCAATATCATTGAGGTGAACAAGTGATATAAAATATATAAAGCTCAGTGCTTGACATAGTGTAGATACTCAATACATGATAGTATTGTCTTCTGCATCTTATTTCTTTCTTCTCAAAGGGACCAAATGGAGACAGGGTTGGAAGCCAAGAGCTCACCCAATTCAGCTCTGAGAGGAAATAGGAGAGATCTTGCTGCAAGTAAAAGTCCAAAGTACCAACTAGGCTTTGCCACACCCTCCAGGTGACTCAACTTCACCCACGCCAGGATTCCTGGAATTGGAAAAGAAAGGGATCAGTGTGAATATGGTGTTTGTGTCTCAGTGAAGCCAGCTTCCCTATTTCTAAACCCAGCTTTTGATTTATCATCAATGTCTTGTTGCCCATGACCATGTAGTTTACTTTTTTTTGCTTCCTTCAACTTCCTTTTGCTGTGTGGTTCAGGAAACTATATGTTGTTCTATAGTTACTCATTTTTAAAATGGAGAAAAAGAATAAGCACACATAACAGGGGGGAATGATGGCTCAAATCAGGAAGAGATAGAGACTAGAAAAGGTTTCAAGCTTCCTGGGCTTGAAATTTTCTAAATAAGGTAGGCATCTTTCGGGAATGAATCAGGCGTTAGTTGGCAGGAAGCAAGAAGGTGTGTTGGATGACTCTGCACATCCCTTGGGATATCAGGGCCCGGGGAATCGCAGGAGACATTGCCATCATCACTGCCACCATCTGCCACCATCATCATCATCACTGTCATCACTGACACTTGGCAAGTAAGTGAGGTAAGAACAGGTGACGTTCTAATTCCAGGCTGCCATTCCCTCTTGCTCATGGCCTATCTGGATCGTTGTCCTTATTCAGCACTTGCCGTGTATCCAGGTTTCAAAATAATCTGAAACAGAATGGTATCCTGGCAAAGCTCTGGACCAGATGAGCTTTAGTGAGTCACTTCATCTCACTCATAAAATGGGGAACTTGGACTGGACTACCGCCTAGATCCATGCAAGCTCTGAAACCTATGTTAAAACGAGTCCAAGCAACTTAATTAGAAACACAAACACTCTGCCAAAAATAATCACAATTTAGTCTAAGGTAAAATATACCTCATAGAACCTAAGACCTGGGAGAAATTTTTAGATTATCTAATTCAACCTCCCACTCAAAAAGGAATTACATCTATAAGTGGAAAAGGATATAGTCAGAAAGATGTATGTCTGAATGGATGGGTAGATGGATGGATGGATGGATGGATGGATGGATGGATGGATGGGTAGATGACAGAGAGGAGGGGAGAGGATTGAGAACATGGCCAAGAGTGCAAGCTTAGGAGTCAAGCTGCCAGGTACTCTGCACCTCAGTTTCCTTTTCAGTTTATTTTTGACTCCTTTAACTTCCTTGGGAAGTTCAGGGAACTATATGCTATTTTACAGTTATTTAGTATGAACATGGAGTATAAAAAAAAAAGGAACTTATAATAGGAATGAACCCTGTAGAAACAGTAATAATACTTACAGTTGCAGTTGTTATGAAAACAGAATCCAAATGAGATAATACATATGAAAAACATATAGTACATTGCTCAATAAATGGAATCTATTGGGCACCTGGGTGGCTCAGTGGGTTAAGCGTCTACCTTCAACTCAGGTCATGATCTCGGGGTCCTGGGATCGAGTTCCACATCGAACTCCCTGCTCAGTGGGGAGTCTGCTTCTCCCTCTACCCCTCCCCACTGCTTATGATCTCTCTCTCTCTCAAATAAATAAATAAAATATTA